TAGAGAATGATTCTAGTAGTCAATTGATACTGTAAAATATTAAAAAATAAGTTATATTGATAGGTTCCATATATTATGATAGCAACAAAATAATTATTCAGTTCGCGTATTCAGCTCAACCAAGACGGTTGTATATTGCAAAGTCTAACTTCACAACTATAACCTCTCAAATGGCCCAATACAAACTTACATATACATAAATCAGGTTAATACACCTTAAACAATGTAATCACAAATCACACCACAACCAAAAATAAGTATCAATTCAAAACCATCCCTATAAAACGATCTAGGACAAATGGACGTAGCTGTTTGGACGTGGGGACAAATGGACGTCAAAAAAATATATATAAATCAGTAAATAAAATAAATAAGTTATTTATATTTATTATAATATGTAAATTTTAATGTCAAAAAATATTCATTCAAAAAAACTTCACCATCGCGATTTAAATTAATTGATGAGATCTTATAAGTACACTTGAATGCAATTTGTACACGACTAAAGGTCCCCACACACTGCCGCGGTGGTGATATTAAAATCGCAGACCTGAACACATTGCGGCGGTGGCGGTGGCGATTTTTATCCAGTATAAACATAATATATTTATATATTACCATTGATTATAAATATTTATAATCAATGATATATACAATAATTGTATAGTTAATTAATTAATTCCTATGTCATTGATAAATTGACGATTTATCTATATAGTACGTTAGTTGGTGCTATATTAAGTACAGTCGACTCTCGATAATTCGAAATTGACGGGACTGCTAAAAAACTTCGAATTACCGAGAGTTCGAATTGTTGAGTAGTTCGAAATAACGAGAGGGCAAAAAAAAAATTCGAATTATAGAGAGTTAAGAAAAATTTTTTTTTTTTTATTATTGTACATACATACATACATATTAATTATTTTAGTAAAGTAGGTGATACGGCATACATATTAGAGTTATTTATTGTTAATATTAACATTTTTAATTATTTATTATTATTATAAAAGATTATTATTTTTTAAAGAAATCTGTTATGGTTTTCTGCTTCATTGAATTTAGTTTAATTTTTTCAATAGTATTTTCTATAGTAAATAAAGCATCAAAAACCTCAACAGTGACTTCTGACTGGAGCGAGAAATTTCGTAATTTTTCCAAGGATAAACTGGCTTCTTTTAAAGTCACAAGAGGTAGAGGACTTGTGTCATCTTCATTGTCTTCATCAATGCTTAATGTATTTTCCAAAATTTCGGCATCAGAGAAGACTCCCCATACAGCAACATCTTCATCTATATTGACATAATCAGTGAAAGATACATTTTCTTGAGTTGGCAGGGAATTCCATTGTATCGATTCAATATTTAACTGGTCGTTTTCTGTTTCTTGAATTTTTTTGGTAAATCCCGATTTTTTAAAACACTTGAGTATCGTAGAAGGAACCACTTTTTTCCATGCCTTATCAATAAATATCATAGCAGTCAATACATTAATGTTTGGCGTTTGTTCACTTTCAATGCATTCCAAAACATTCTTTACAACTTCTTGACGGTAAAAAGTTTTACAATTCTTAATTATACCTTGGTCGAGTGGTTGCAACTTCGATGTGGTGTTAGGAGGAAAAAATTGAAGTTCTATATTAGTTAAAGGTGGGGGGTTATTATGAACTGTACAGTTGTCTAAAAACAGTAGAATTTTTCATTCCTGTTTTTTCATGTCTTCATTGAGTGAAAACAACCATTCATTAAATAATTCTGTCGTCATCCATGCCTTTTTATTTGAACGATAAGTTATAGGAAATGAACGTATGCCATTAAAACACCTAGGTTTGGCAGCTTTTCCTATGAGGAGTGGAGTTAACTTTTCGGAGCCGTCCATGTTTACTGCTAATAAAATCGTTAACCTGTCTTTACTATGTTTCCCGCCGTGGCATTTTTCTTCTTTAAAAGTGAAAGTTTTATCTGGTAAACATTTAAAAAATAGAGCGGTTTCATCTGTGTTGAACACGTTTCGTGGCTCGTAATTTTTTAACAAAGTTGAAAGTTTACAATGCCACTCTGAACACACGTTATTGTCAACACTAGAACTTTCTCCACAAATTTTTTTGAAAACAATACCGTTTCTTTTTTTAAAATTCGTTAACCATCCATCACTAGCTGAGAAAAACGGGATGCCCAACTCTTTGGCGAATGATTTTGCTTTTTCTTTGAGTAAGAGGCCACTTACAGGCACATTTTTCCCTCTGCATTGCCTAACCCATTGTACTAAACACTCTTCTAGTCTTGGTTCTTACCTTTACTGTTTCGTTTCCGACCACCGCTTGATGACGCAGTGATGATTTTATTTTTGTCCTTCAAAATCGTAGACAGTGTACTTAAAGGAATGTCAAATGTCTTAGCCACTTCGGTTTTTTTGTCACCTCTTTCAACCGCTTCAATCAATTGTTTTTTTTCCAAAATCGTCAAAGATTTGTATTTTTCAGAATTAGACGCACTCATCACATGAACTTGACTTTACAACCGACCAAACGAAACTAAAATAAAACTACATTCGACTGACGGCTATCGACGACTCGACGAGTTAAATTACAATTAGAGACGATTGAGAAATAAAACGATAAGGTTCTTACAATAATATTCTATAGTTATCGACAGTAATAATCTAAATTTCTACACGATTGTATAGTATTTATTAATAAAAAGATTATAAGAATACAGATAAAATACATTTGGTGAATATACTTCGAATTTCCGAGCATTAAACGAATGATACTTCGAATTGTCAAGTGTTAGTGACCAGTTTTCCCAAAATTTAATTTCGAATTACCAAGTGTACTTAAATGCATTGTTTTTGTTCGAATTACCGCGTGGTTTTCAAGGAACCGAGTATTTACTTCGAATTACCGAATGTTTCGAATTATCGAAGGTTTGAATTACCGAGAGTCGACTGTACTTATACTATTGTATATATCATATTCATTATATATATAAATATATATAATATTGTATTGATTATTTTTATATGAATTATTTTTAATTAAGTTAAATAGTATATTAAACTATACCTTGAATAGTTTCTAGGAAATAATCGAAGTCTAGACTAATATACACCATATTTTTTGTGATGTATTCTTCGGTTTTTACAAATGTTGTGTATTGTGCGGTTATAGCTACATCATCTACGTATAGGAAGTGTTTGGTGTTAAGGCTTATTGGCTGATCGTTGGTATAGATATTGAACATAGTCGGGGCTAGCACACTTTCTTGGGGTAGACCGTTGCGTTGCTTTCGCCATCTACTGCGCTTCCCCATGCACCCAGAAAAAAATGTTTTATTATTAATGAAAAACGACTGTAAATTTAATGGAAAATGGGTATGATTTAGAGCCTATGGAACTCAATCATTAATTTATGAATACAGAATCTTTTAAATTAATTAAATCGACTATACGTCAATTATATTATGTTTATTATCATTTTTAAACGTTTTATTTTGATAGAATGATACGGCTTCCTTAAAATTATGACAAACAAATACTATAATATAGTATATTCATCTTAAACTTTATAATATTGTGGTATTAATTATACGGTATAAATTTGTATTTATTCTTAAAAACAATTAACCAATATAGTTAATACTATGACACACAGTATTATTTTAATGGAATAATTTTCTTATAATTAATGGAATCATATGATTAATAATAAAATTAAGCTTATAAAGAATACTCAATAGTATGATGGACTAGCATCATTTTAATGGAATATTTTTCTTTGCTATCATTGCCATAATTTAATTATTTTAAAATGTTTAAGAAATTATTAAATTGTATTCAATTATTTAAATTATGTACAATAGGTAACAAGAATAACGGAGAGGAAAAATGAAAATGAAATAAAAAATCTATACACACATAATTATTGTTATAGAAAAAAAACTAAGTATATTTATTTTCAAAACAGTCATATTGATATTTACAAGCATTTAAAATAAGAAATTACAATTTAAAAAAAATGTAGTTTAAACAATTTTAAGTAATAGTATGATACAAGTGTAAAAATTACAAATACAATAGCAAATTTTTGACAAAAAATGTAATACAATATAATAATACTAACATACCTACCTACAAAAATTACAATTTTAATAATAATTAAACTCCAATGTTATTTTTTTTGTTTTAATCTTATTACAAACTCATTAGGGAACATGGGAATTTCATACAAATGAATAGGGGCGTCATTAAAATAATTTATTGGTTTGAAAACATAATCAGTCATAAATTTACTTATTTTATAGCTTGCCAAATGATTTTCATAACTGATAACATTCATTTTTTGATAAAAAAAATATATAGTACTTTTATTTAAACATACAATTTTACGTAATATATAAACAATCAGTTCATCACTTGAATCATAATTGGTTAATATAAAATCAATCTTATATACAGTATTAAGATATGAAATTTTATCAAAGCATAATGAATTATGCAATAAAACTGCATCACCTAAGTATAAATTACTAAATATATCAAAATATGTACATGTATTAGCTATAGTTCCTTCACTTATTGGAGTATATGAATTATAAAAATTAATATCAAAACTATGCATTAATTCAGAAAATTTTGTAGCAAGAGATAGTGGAACATTTAATCTTGAATCAATATTTTTAGTGTACGATTTTAATTGTCTATGTTTAGATTCAAAAGTGTATGTCCATAGATATTTTAAAGGTCCTGATTTCTTAATTATTGTACAATAGTGAGTCAAAAAATGGTGTTTGGGTTTAAGTATATCATTGAACAGTTCTACATACTTTTTATTATGATTTATAATAACATTTTCTATGATAATTTTAAAATAGTTTCACTATCATAACTAGGCAATAAAAAGAGATTTATCATTTCTACAAAATGTATTAAAAATACCCAAGTTGGATCATTTTGATTAACCAAATCGCCTATAAGTAAAGGAAAGAAATGAATAAAACATCGCATTTCTCTCGCTGACATTTTCATATTAAAATTTTTTAAATTTATTAGTTTCAATGGTGGTGACAAATTACCAATTTCAGTTTCTCCATAGTTGAAGCATTGTTTACGGTTATTCAAAGTTGACAAATCAAAATAACCTTGTTTTAAAAGAGTTAAAATAATATGACACATATTATATACTCCCACACCTTCAAAAATGTCATGCATCAAATCAACAGCGTAATTCTCAATAACATGGTAAGAATTAATAGTATTAAATATTGAATTTTCGAATATTCCTGTTTGTTTTGAATCATATTTTAATAGATCATCCTCATAATTTTGTTTAGTACGTAAAGAATCAACATTTTCATCAGCCAGGAAATTAGTGACATTTTTACTGTTGTGACAAAATCGACAAAAATGATTTGAAGAAAAAGATCTCGAAAATCCTAAAACGGTGTTAAGCCCCAAATTATCCCCTATAATCAAACCTAATGAAAAATATACATTTTTTTTTTTACCATTTATATTTAATTCTAGTCCACTATTGTTTAATTCGTTAATATTTTTAATTAATTCATAAAATGTTCTTTCGTTGCCAATAAATTTTACATCTTTAGAATTAAAAATAGCAGCAATAAAAATATTGTTTAAATTTGAACGCAAATAATGAGGGGCTGTAGGAAATGAATAATATACCCCTAAAACTAAAGGTGAATGAAAACCCAAAGCATTGTTGATCTCAAAGTCGTCGAAATAAAGAAAATATGGTATGACAAGCTTATTACCATATAATAATTTTTTTTGTTGCCATAAATTAGAATTGATAAAATTAGAATTCTTAAAATTTGTGGTTATGTGATCGTGATTGTTTAAAAACGCATCTAATACACCAGGCAATTCAAAATATTTCCTAAATTAGAATTTTAGTGGTAGTATTACGCATTTTATTTTTTTCTCATCAATAGTATTTGTACAGTTCAAAATAATATTTTCAACAGTGTTGTTTAAGGTTATTGCTTTAGGTTGTTCATAGAAATCATTTGTTTCTAAATGTTTTAAAAATTTATACTCTGTATCAATATTTTGAAAAGGTTTCTTACAAAATTCAGAAATTGTGTTAAGTGATTCTTTTATTTGAGGTAAAGTGCAATTTTTAAACTAATATTTTTAATTTCAGCAGCTATAATATTAGTTATGAAATGAACTATATCTTTTTGTAATTCAGTAGCTTCTTTTCTAGAAAAGTTCACTTTACTGTAATATCTTAATGAGAATTTGAGCGCAGAATCTTTTAACAAGTTTAAATTTACAGATTGTTTATTAATACTTTTATCATCTTCAGAAACCTTAATTTTATCAAATGAATTGTAATTCATAGGTACATCACTATCACTTATATTTATAAATGATTCAGAATAAACTGGAAGAATATTTTGACTTTCATTCTTCATGTTTTGAAAAAGACCGAAATGCAGAAAATTGTTGTTTACAATTAGGGAAACAGCATTGATAAATACTGTTAGATTTAAGCGAATGTACAGCTTTTAAGTGAACAAATAATTGTTCTAGTTCGGATACTGCACACTGGCAAACAAAACAAAAATAATTCATAATTTAATAATAATTTATTTTAATATTATTACTTACATTAATTTATTATTATACGTTTAAAATTTTAAAATTTATGTTTTTTTAATTAATCTCTCATATCTGAAATTAGAGACGTTAAAGAAGCATTTTTTATATCAGTGTTTAAGTCAATTTTATAGATATATTTTTGTATAAATGTCCACACTAACTCACACTTTAACGGGTACTTTAAATTAAACACATATATAATTTTAAAACAAGTATCTATAGCTTTAACAATATTAGTAAATTTGTAATAGGTGTTAAAATAATATACATAAAATTCTTTAATACTTATATACTCAGTTCCTACAATACAAACTATTGGTTGCAAGGTTTGCTTTAAACTGTAGCAGTTATCAATTTCTTTTTGAATTTGATTATATAAGTCATTAACAGTGTGTGTATGTAACAAGAATGATTTTTGAGCATCCACAATTGATGTTTTGGCAAAACGTCTTCTTCCTGTTACCTTGTCGATTTGATAAGACTCTGAAGTTGGAACAAGAATAGCATTTAGAAGAACTAATATTAGAACTGTAATATGCATATATTATTGAGAAATAATAGTACGCATATTCCTGAGTCGTATAAGGAAAAACGTACTATTGCAAAACCTTTAATGGGCGCCACGCGCGAATTTCAAACAACCACAACAACATCATCATTCGAATGGCCAAGGGCAACCAAGTGATGAAACAACACTTGGATATGAAGACCAAGACCAAGGACAGCCACGTGTCGAAAACAACACAATTAAAACAGAATCAGCAGAGTATATAAAGGCTCCGTTTCAACACCAACGGCAGACGTGTCCAGCTATCAGACTAAGCCCTTCTGAGTTGCGTCTCGATATTGTTAGTGCACGAATTTATAATTTATA